CACTGCTTTAGACAAAAGCTGTTTGATCCGCAGCTCAAATCTACAATGTACACTTCGAATAACCTCTCCTTGACTTAAACAACTTATCAGTTTCTCAGTACCTTTGATGTTTACATTGAAAAGCCCTGACAATTTGGTCGTTTAATTTTTCACCCAACAAAAGTGCCTTGAATAATACACCGAGAAGGCTGAAGTATTCCGACCATCAAAACAATAAAATTGGACAAGGTCTAGAAATCAAATGTGGAGGAAACTCCTTAACCTAACACATTCTAAGGTAACAAGTGCAATATTCTCTATCCGGTGCCCGCTTCGTCGGGACGGCTCAAAGTCGGACAAGCGTTAGCCATATATTTGAAAAAATTCTCCGTTGGATAGTGCTCGTTGCAACAGAATTGCTCGGCGAAAGAATAAATGAAACTGGTAGATGATATTGGCTGTTGTTTGGTATGTTGTCTTTTATACCTTGAAAAACCAACACGCACAACACTCGTTTGGAATCTTTACCATTTATGTGCTATTTTTATTAAGACCGGGATACACTACTCCATTCTGTGTTACGGAACACGTAAGAAACAATTACGCTAGCCGAATTTGAACCTACCCAGAGACCGCTTTGAACCAACCATTGATACACTCGTTTGCAAACGAATCTGGTTTTGTGCGAGACTCTCAACGGAATTCCTCGTTTATGGTATTTTTTAAGAAGGGAGAGACCGGTCGTGAGCTGTCGCAGAACTTTCAACAACTTTATGAGTAGTTAGTGTATTAGGCGACACACTCCGTTCAGGTCCAAGCAACTTCAGTCTTTTTCAAAAAAGACCTCCTCCTCAAAAGCAATATCTTAACGCAGTGCTCATGTAGGACAGTAATGTTTAATTATACTTATTATCTACTTAGAGTGGCATATAAAATGGACCTATAACACGGGGAAATAGAGCATTACGGGATAACCCCGCGTGGTGAGCACAAATACTAGTTGAAGCATCCCCTTACGTGAACAGCTTACTGCCGACTGGGACGCACATTAATTTAGCCATATTAAAGCGAGATGCCGAGGCTCCATAGTCCCCCTATGCATATGTCTGGTAAACAGTACAACCCGAAAGACCTTGATTTTGGCATACGTCCTAACTTACTTTGCGATGGCTGTATCTTCCAAGCAATCACAACAGAACGTTTTGTGAAAACCCCCCGCTTGTCCAATCTCATACGAAACTCTCAAATTCACTCAGAATTAAATGATAGTTACGAACAAAGCGACAGCCGATCGACATCATATCCGGGATTAGCTCGGGTGTTCAACGTATGCACAGGTGTTATCTAATTGAAAACACTATAGAAGCAGATAGGTCGATTAGATTTAAGACCAATACGGTACAGAAATAATTTGTGAAAATGAGGACCACTGGATATTAGGATCTAGGGGTACATTCCAGTTTTCGTGACAGATGTTCATCCACATTGTCTGTAGACCAAAATACTACGACCAGGACTGCTAATTATTTTCGCGTTCCATACTTGAATCTTTTATTGGATTATCAAGTGACAACACGGCCAAAGTATTATTTCTCTCGAAACTGATTGTCGCATCATCGCCTGTAGTTACCAGATCCCGGTCCGATCATCCATACAGACGGAAGCACGAATTTTCGATACATTTTGGGCTTCGTAGTACTGAAGTTTCGAAATCCACATTTACGTGTTTCTGTCTGTGACACCATGTTAGCTAATGTCACGAATAGTGTTCTCGGAGTTAAAAAATATTGTGACCTCGATTGGTGGCGTTTCTGAACATGTTCAATAAATGTTGTACATTTCCCACATACTAAAGGAGAATCCCACAAAGAACTGACTCCTTCGGGGAACATAAATGTTTCTAATTCCTAGGTGGTGCATGACAGCAACACCATGGTTGCCACTGATGCTTCACTGCCGTACTAGCAAAAGCGCAACGAATAGGCAATAGCTGAGATCAGTAGACCTACCGTACTAACCGAGTCTGTGTTATCTTACATGACTGCTTTATTTGAGAAAATCTAGGCTCAGTATATCATCCACACCTAGTTAACAATATCAGTCATAATGATCCTTGTGAAAATTCTATTAGTGTGATAAAAAACGTCTCACTAACGGGGTAATAAATCAAGTCTTATTGGAATCTCCTTTTATCATGACCTGATTAACAAACGATTGTTTAACTGCAAAACCATCATTCGTAATTCCCATCTTTAAAAAAGCCATGGAGTTAAATGCATGGGTCACCTACTTAACAGACTCTGGCTTATTGTGTCAAACTTCTCAGTTATCGCTGTTTTTCGCATGTTAAACCTCACTAAGTAAAGTAGACGCCTCGAAAGGTGAACCGGTCCACACAGTGATCGAGTCCATATTATCACGCAGAAAAGTCCTAGAAAAGTCATAACAGGGACCAGAAAGTAAGTTTTTCCTGGAAAGAAGCCACACTTGATGCCATGAAATGCTCGGTGGGATTTCCTCCTGGAAATTTAAGTCCTGAAAAGTTATGTCAGAATGTTCGTCAGAATAGTTAGGATCGTGTTTGGGTGGATAAGTGGCTCTCGTCTTGCATTCAAGCCATCACAGGAGCATGCCAAGTTGTGACTCTTGGTGACATCTTGAACGCTGGGTATGGTGTACACTAGGTTTGCATGGCTTCTTCCACGTAAGACAGTGTGATGTAAGCTATGCTGTGCCGCTCAATCCACTTAAAAACACTATCTGCATTAGGATGCTACATCGCTTAGTGCGAGCCCAGCCTTTGACCGACACCCGCAGGGTTTCCCCAAGCAATCAGCCCAGATTGAGTTTTCTTGTTTAATTAGGAGGCTAGTTATTAGCCGCGGTGCAAAATGTTATCCCGAAATGAGACAGGAGGTGGGTTCCCTAAAGCTTTAGCATATTTTCAGGAAGTTCCTTATCCTCATTGGATAAGACGAACAATTCGCTCAACTGCATTTTTTGCAGGTGCGAAGGACACTGACTGTGTTTGCAGATGCTATAGACCGCTACATTTGCTCATCACCTCTTATGGTAGCAATATTGTACGGTGCCACGTTTCACGTAATAGCAGTGAATCAGAAATAAGTCGTGTAACAACTGGAAAAATCAATTCTTTACACATAGTCTCACAAATCACAAAGACCTGCTCTGTTTAACTTACATAGTCCAGATCTAAAGAAGCTTCCCGGAGATCAATAAGAAACAGAGAGGGACATCTTGAGCAAGATGACATTTAAATTCTCCTCAGCTGATATACTCAACTTCCTGGATAAGTCCCAGATCAATGTTGCACAATATGCCCAACATGTTTCAGAAAGCAACTAATTGGTGGTTCCATTGTAATTGTCATGATCTCCTCTGTTTGCAGTTCACTGCTATCTTTATTTATTCCACACTGTCTTTACAGTCGGCTGTACTGAGTTCCATTTGGTCAGAAACAGTGAGTTTTGGACCGTGTATACAACAATGGATTTCCTGCACTTGACACCTTGACCGCGCATTGCGCTCAGCGAACAAGTAGATGGAGTGACGTAATACATTGCCGATGGTAAACACATGTCCCTCGGTTCTCAACCACCCCCTCCCTCAATCGTGCATCATCGCTGTTCATCGACAGCTTCTATCGGATTAATGAAAAACGCTATATTAACAAACACAAACAGCCGAAACAATGGTCGTTCCGCTGCGAAAAATCTATAGAAAACCCTTCTATACCTGTTGGCATCTTAATGTTCTCCATCCGATTTTGGTTCAGAACAAAATTGAGTCTCCCACAGTGCTACCAAACATACTTATTTTAGCACGGTAGCTATGCATCGAAAAGATGATACGGCTGAGCGATTTTTTCCGAGACCCAGGCGTCTTCATCGAGTGCCAAGGCACCTCGTGTTGAGGAACGTTATCCAAAAGGCTAATCAAATTTGAGCATGCGGGCAGTCAATCGAAACAGCTAACTATAGTTACTTGTTTGAAACACCAATGCAACTATTCATGTCAATAGGTGATGGTATGTGGTGAACTACCACAGCGCATTTCAGTCATGCGGTCGGAATCTGTAGAGCTCCTGTAGTAAATTATAGCACCCCAAAACGGCCGATATAGATTGGCAAAGTTCACTAAAATAAACTTCTTACATCAAGTTTGGACTAGGGCAGAGGTCAAAAGCTAGTTACATGAAGAAACGTGTAGGAAGTAAGATAGATATATTGTGCCGTAATATCGAAATGCAGGTGACAATTTTGTCTCATCAGTCCCCTCTTCCATCAACGATCCTTCTTTCTAACTGTCTGAAAACAGCAAAGCCAACCAAAGGACTTCAAGTGGCGATAGTACTCTCCCTCAATCCTAACGATAACTAATTAGCCTGAGACCTGGAAGCTTGTACGACTATCCAGCAATGAATGTGCACGTATGTTTGTCATTCTAATGGCATATGCTCAAGTTCGGCGCAACGACATCACGTTGAATCTTTGAGTATTCTTGGAGCACACTGTTGTGTCCATTTGGCCTAGAAAGAACGGTGAACATGGAGATCCGAGAAAAAATTTTGCGAAAGTCCAAAGGTGACTAAAGCGTCGATGCACTTATGACGGACGTCAATATAACAGAAGCATACTATGCGATGGACCTGTGCCCTCAATTTATAGTCAAAGTTGTCGGTTAAGTAGGTAGGTCTGTATCCGGGATACCCGCGCTTCGTTGTTTAATGTTTAATAATGCTGTTAAAAACAAAATTGCTGAAGTTCACGGTAGTCCACTTAGGACGCTAAAGGACAACCATTTGATACTGTGCGGCCGAAAGTGAATTTCATGTTGATTTTCTAGTTATGAGATAACTATTGGGAAATTCAGCTGCTGAAAGAGGGGAATGGTTTGTTGGGTACAGTTATTCACAGTCCTCTTCAAGAGGGTGGCATGCACATTGGATACATCGCCGAATGTGATCAGGTAAAAATGGCACACGCAAGTGTAATATATAATTAATAGTCAATATAGTGAGATATATGGTACAATGCTGCGCGTCCATTACTCTGTCCGACACAAAGGTAACCTCCACCTGGACTGAATGCGATCGAGGTTGGCTTCCCTAATCGTCCAACACATACCGGGAAGTTGTCAAACACCTGATGACCGTAGAGGTGGTACTGAAATGAAGGACAATAATGATCGAATGTTCACTGCATCCATACAATTGAAACGGTTACGGTAAATAGGAATGGACAGACAATGCTGCAGTGAGATTCACTTTAAACGGATTGTTAGATTTGACAACTTCCATTTTCCAATCTGTACACTAGCCCATGATAATAGTTTCCGGGATTCGGCAGGCCCAAGCCCTCTGCCTTACATGAACTGGGTAATCAATGTAACTTTGGTTGGAGCTTCATAGTCACTTCGGCAAGTGCGGATGTATCCAGCTAGAAACAAGTTGCCCACTGCAGTACTGAACAGTAACCCAAATCCGCGGATGCCATGTAGCAAGGCAATTACACATGGCAGCCAAACGTACGATACACCTGACAAATGAGGCTGCAAGTGTGAACCATCCAACTGAGAAGTTGCCACTCGAGCAGCCAATCAACAGGTGACCACGCAATGTGCATTCTGTTATTGAAGCACAAGTGGTGCTATATCCTGCATAAATAAGAGTGGATAAGGTGAATCGTCGCCGAAGGCTTAAACGTTCAAACGACTGGCCAGTAGGAAGCGGGTCCAAAACTCTGGGTTTCGTGAGATGCGTACTGCATGTTGATGATTCAGATTGCCCACTGCAGTACTGAACAGTAACCCAAATCCGCGGATGCCATGTAGCAAGGCAATTACACATGGCAGCCAAACGTACGATACACCTGACAAATGAGGCTGCAAGTGTGAACCATCCAACTGAGAAGTTGCCACTCGAGCAGCCAATCAACAGGTGACCACGCAATGTGCATTCTGTTATTGAAGCACAAGTGGTGCTATATCCTGCATAAATAAGAGTGGATAAGGTGAATCGTCGCCGAAGGCTTAAACGTTCAAACGACTGGCCAGTAGGAAGCGGGTCCAAAACTCTGGGTTTCGTGAGATGCGTACTGCATGTTGATGATTCAGAAAAACGTATTTGCTTTGCTGATTGGACGGACTCCGAACTACAGCACATTGCTAATGTGCTCCGAGCCAATGGTTACCCGGAGAGCTTTATAACCAAAAATATGTCCGACCGACCTATTCAACCGCCCATCACGACCGTTGGGAAGAAGCCATTATACTTGAGTTTACCATGTAAAGGCGATTTGTTGGCAGACATAGTCAATCGCCACTTGCTTCAATCCCTACAACCCACGTTTTCGGCTGAAATTCTGCGATCGTGGTTTACAACAAACCTTTTGCTCAACGTAAACCTCAAAGACAAGACGCCAATCATCACCCAGAATATGGGTGTGTATTCTTTCTCCTGCTGTTGTTCAGTGGGGTATGTTTGGAGCACGACACGGCAACTCTCTAAGAGAATACGCGAGCATCTCTCCAACCGGAATACTACTAACCTCAACAGTTCAGCCAGGTGCCCAATTGCATCCCACCTAATTGACACCGGGCACGTAGTCATGTCAAATAAATCACTTAAAGTCATTTATTTACCTTGTGCCAAAAAGACTGCCAGTACCTACCTACTACAACCGAGGCAGTCGCTATACGCCTGCGAAACCCAGTACTGTGCTGTCAAAAACGTTTCGTACGAACGCTGAGTCTGCCTTGGTCGTGTGAAATGAATCAACCGGCCAGGTCACTCAACAGCCCTCTTGACTGTCTCACAGCATCCAACTAGATGCTACATGAGGGTGGGGGGGGCGCAGACAACCAATCGTTCGTGTCTCCACGGTTTGCATTTCACTAACCAATCTTCGCAGCGTATTTCATTTTTCGCTCCTATTTTAACCATTAGATATGTACTGACCTGATAACGAGATCCCGAAAACATCTATGTTCGTCACTGTGTTCCTTTTCAAAGAGGAAAAAGCTGTACAGTGCTTCCATTACGGGACGTAATCTACATTGAAGGTATATGTATGCCATTCGGTATTTATAATCACTTATATACAGCACTTAAATTCAGCAAATCAACGAGTGAAACCCATGAGCTGGAATAACCCAAGTGATTACAACGCTGAACCGAACACGACTAGGAGCAATTACGTGATAGAACTCGTTTGTTTGCTAGAAAAAACTAAAGCATCGATGACTTCGACACGAAGAATAGGACAAGTTTTCCGTTAGACTTTTATGACTCTTTGAAAAAGTAAATTAAACGCTACAGAAACCCCGCGTAGTTGTAATAATACTGCAACAGTTCATAAGGTCATGCGTTTATGTAAGGCATATGTTTCCACGTAGTGCTTACTGTCACCGATCGAGCTACAATAGAATAGTCGGAATAACTGAAGGTTTCTAAAAAAACTAAATTCTCTACTTGGTGGTTTTGTACACCAATAGATCGTTTACCCTGTTTTTCTTGACGTGTGAAATGGGAATCGGCGTTATCGCCTTCGTTCATCAACCGTGTGTTTGTCATACCCCAGGATATTTCGGGTCTTCTTCGCTAATCAACTTAAGTTCAGGGTAAGCACGATTTTCTTTGGGACACAGAGTTCAGGGTCAAAAATTTGAACTCTAATCACGTTTGTGAGACGCTTGAAATCATTCAACTCAGTCTCAAAAAGAAATTGTGGGTCGCGCGACTTGGCGCCTGTCTGAGGGTATTCGTGAGTGTAAATCAAGCGACTTACGTGACAATTGGACTGAACGGACAGGCAATCGATACCAGCGTAAAAAACTACTGAAATAATTTAGTGACTTCGTGAGCGCCAACAAATACTTTTCTAATGTTAACCAAACGGCGTTGAAAGATTCGGGACCACAGATGCCCATCAACCGCAGTAATCTGAGATACAGCTTGCGCAAGGACTGTGTTTCATACCAACTGAAAAGATTTAACCCCTACTTAATAACCGCACCTGTCTGAGAAAACGCCAGCGAAACCGTATCATCGGAAAGACTACTGTCACGGTATCTACAAAAATCCTAGTGTAAGCGACCAGCCATGGTTAGGAGCACTTTGGTTTCACCAGTGGTTATCTTATTTTATTGGATTTCAGTGTATTCATATGTATTCTGTGACACAGACGGCTCTAACACAGCTGCGAAGCCTACTCCGTAGTTCGTACAAGTGTGGTGCTAAGCACCCGCATCAACCATAAATCATAGGAACACGGACCAAACCCATTTATTAGAATTTGCTAGCGCAGTGTCCAACGGTGCGACAAACCCCAGACTAATTCGGATAATACACGGATAGCATCTACGGTCTGGTTGATAACGAGCTGAAAAGGGGGGGACTCACCAAACGGATAGCCGCGGGCATCTGAGAAGAACCCAAGCATAGCATTTCTGACGCTGGATGAAAAGCCATAGAATCGATGGCTGTTTGCACATTCGCTATGGATTTATCTGGTACGGGATTGCTGGATATCATGGTCTGGGTCATTTGGTACACATTTACAAAACCGCAATCGGACCTGAAATGAAATATGATTACAAAAATTCGTAGCACGCGTGATTCCCCATAGAAAAGTGCTGAAATCAAGCGGTAGATGATACGCAATAGTGGTCTTGAGACGCAAAGAACACAAGAAACATGTATTCCATGCGCCATCCCGTCTGACAGATAGACAAGACGTGCTTTCTTTCCCAGAAAACTCTCAGTTGATGGCAAACTATATTTATATATCAAAATTGGATCTTTCCGACAGTCAAACGATTTTGCGCGGCACAAATAACTTCCTTTCTTGGGAAAGAGAAGGGAAATGTAATAGAGTTCTAATAATTTCATTGAGTCCTCCAGTAGCGTCTTATTAAGTTACATGAAGGACGTCGCAAATCTGGCGGTTCTTTGTGGATGCGTAACCAAGCATCTTCCGATGCATCCTTCTTTCACGTTTGCAAGACACCCAACAGCAATACCAGACAAGATTTGCAGAAACAGGAAAAAAAGCTATTCTTGAGAACCAATTCTCCACGGTTACGTTTCAACTCAGTTCGGACATTTTTTTCATAAAACAGTTGAGTCACCACGAAAATTTCACCAGACATATTATTACTGCTGTGAAAAAAAACAAAATGGGTTTGATCACGGGTGAGACGCAATTAACAAATGTCAGTACACTGATGCCAATGTGAACTTATGCGACACATTTCGACTGGGAGCGCATGAGCGACAGAACGTACATCAGTCTAATTAGAATAAACAGTATTCATATTGCAAAACCAGTTGGAGTTAATGCACCAGTAAAATAAACGTGACAGGAAGTGACAGTCCCAACAAGTGGGCTGGATGGAAATTCGGTGAAATCAGCCTGATTCTTACGACCAAGTCAGAGTTATTTTTTCCTTCACGTTACTTCAGTCTGATTTTATTTCGCATGCGCTTCGTTTCAACCACTTTTTTTTCAATGAAAAAGCTGTGAAACGGAAATCTCATATTGTTCCAAATCTCTTTTTAACTCGTTAAATCTGAGCAGTACAGGTGCGCAAAGCAAACGCACACAGACTGCGATCAAACCAGTCAGCTAGATGACGGTTGTTTCCGCTTGTCTGACTCCTCGTGCACCGCAAAGTTCCCCTGGTGTGAACGAGACTTACAAACCGTTCAGAATGTCGGCCCATTGTACACTTGATGTAACAAACACAACAAACAGTTCAACTTTCCAAAGAGTGTGTGAAACAAATTTATGGGACATTTGTCTTTTGCAACAAGTTTATCAGTTCTGAGGAGGACGAGGAGCTGATTCTCCAAGCGAAAATGAAATGAGAAAGACGCAAAACGTTCATGCTAGTCGGAATTTCTGTTATTTTCGAATACGCAGAGCCTAAAAACGTTTGAGCGGCGTGAACATATTGCCAGTTCATCGTTAACCAGTGGTATTAAGCCTCCCTCATTCAGGCCCAACACAAACGAGAACTGATGTGGTGTAGTCAACGTTTGGCAACAAGACAGTATGACAATATGACTTTTTGCCTTCTCGCATCCAAGCTTGAACCAGCTGATTTTCATCGTCCTAACTGTAAGTGAGTTATTGGTAAAATGAGTTTTTTATTAGCTGTCTCACACATGACAGCACATGGCAAAAGACGGGCGGCCATTGACGGTAGAACCGGGACAGTGAGGAAGTTCAAGGTTAGATTGGAAGATAGAAAGACTGAATGGTATAAAATAACGAATCTACTGGGCGATCTCACCTGTTCCAGAGGGAACAATTTGTGATTTTAGACTGCATGTATAATGCTGCTGTAACTGATGAAAGTGACAATTTAAACTCCGTACAGTTTTCAGATACGGTAGAGCAACAAGCCAGACGTTTCCGCACTAAGGCTAAGTACATTCAATAATTAATCAGTGTACCAAGGGAGCAAAGTAAAACTGAGATTTGCGACAACATTTGATTTTGAAGGTACGTTCTAGGCTAGCGGAAAACTAGTCCACGTTCTCCCTACTCCCAAAGGTGTTCCCGTAACCTGCAGTTTGTTCAAGGTCCTGAAGCCTTTAACGATTGGAATGTTTCCGTGTGGTCTAGAGGACAACCTCCAACTAGGTGATCGATAGCAAAGATTCATATGAAATGCACCGACAGGAAGTCCGCTGACATACGTGTCACACATTTGCTCCTCCGCGGTGGAATTGTTTGATGGAAAGGAGCTAATATAATCACGCCATCTATGGCCATCTGGTTGTTTTTCCTCTGTAAAGCGCTTTACCGTGTAATAAAAAAATAACCAAAACGCTAAATTTCTTCTACTTTCATTACTGGGGTACGAAGAAAATATACGCACACTTATTGGACGGTACGCATGTGATTCGACCGAATATCTATGCACAGAAGACTGATATAGCTGTCTTCACTATGACAGGTGTGGTGAACCAGAGAAAGCTGGAAGGTCTTGCTCAGGGTCACGACTGCCAACCATCTGACAGACATGGAGTTCAATAGATGAAACGGGAACGCCTGAGTTCCCTTGTCTGGTGTTGAGTGTTCCATGTCACTAATTAACCGGTATATAGGACGGAAGACGGATCAGCTCAAATAACAAAGTAAGTTGAAGGTGGGATACCTCGAATGGCAGAAATGAAGAGCGGCTGGGCTGGTGGATAAGTTCGGTTCAGAAATGACTTGGTGAATTCAGTTTTTATTAAAGTTAGAGACTACGTAGTCACCCCGAAACAGTAATCACAAGAATACATGCACGTGTGGTGTGGATTCGATCAGTTAGTGGTTTTTACCGGCAGCTTGCAACGTAAAGAATATATCGAAATACGGTTTTCCGTAAGAAATTCCTTTGTGCTGGTTAGTTTGATTTCCAGACACTTCTAGGCCTATAGAACAGACTTGGCAACAGAACTGGTTTCCAGGCTATGGGTAAAAAAATTATGGGTGGGTTATTTATCACTGTATGTAGAAGTAGAGCCACAGAGGTCCGTGATTAGTACGTCTAAGAATGGCCGTGATAGACTGAAAGGTCTGGTGGATATTATTGGAAATGTCAACGCCATAACACCCGAGGAAAGACCTTGTTTCAGATCATACAACAAGGTAATCTTTCTGCCTGAGACAGGTAAGATGGTTAGCATTGTAACAAAGTCGTGACCCCGATCAAGGCAAGGCTTTGGTTCGCTTTTTAAAACGATCATTCTAGTAAACAAAATCACTGTACTTCTATTGATGTACAAACAGATGCTGTCCTAGAAGCTGTCCTAGAATTCACCTGATTTACATCGGTTCGGCTGCCAGCTGGTTCTTTGGTAGCTTATATTAGGCGGCCGTTGTTTGCATGCAGTGCTCCGATCGTTTATCTGCATTGCTGGCTAAAACAAACGAAACTTGTTGACTGAGTGATCTTGGCTAGGGTTCACCTTCCATGGTTGGTCAGGAAGATTAGGACCGAGTTCGAGCAGTTGTTGGCTGAATGCATTGACCTGAAACTTGTTGCAGGCATTGCCGTGCTTCCAAACTTGTACTCCAAACCACGGAGCATCTTCAAAGTCGAGATGGACTTATTTCTGAAGGTCCTTGTCGGAAAACAGATACCCCGAGAGATTCATCATGGTACACGACAAACGGAAACTAATAACCACCCAGACCTAAATTGATAAAGGAAGAGATTTGTTCGTGTACTTGCCGATTAAGGGTTGCTTTGTAGCTATACATCTAACCGTCACAGCCGATTGGACTCTCACTTTATCCACCCGTCAAATTGTAGCTGTGGTGACCGCTACACTGGCAACAGTCAACGACGTCGAACACATCTCAGAGATCGTCTGGACTAACTGAGTAATAACCATAATGAATCACACGCGTTCCAGCTTCATTCAGTGCACATGCCGACGTGCTGGGTCATTTGTGCAACCGTATCAGATCATTGACAGTCGTGATGCGCAGTATGAACTTCATGCTTCCTGAATTCACAGAAGCTATTCTAATCCAGACACGAAGAACGGTTTTCTGTGCACAGAGTTCAAGATAGCTCGATGATTATAGCGTGAACTTACTGACCGGACAGTCCGTGGTTCGAAACTGACCTGTGCATACCGACACCTTCTGTCTAGGATTGGGCAACCTGACAGCACCTCAGCCCTTGTGCTTAATTCGGGTGGCATAACATCTATGCACCGAAAGGGTGTTACAGCTGTCGTTTTGCGCACAGATACTCCAACGAATCACATGCGTATCTTCAAATGAATCCCCGGATACTCTTACGTGGTGTCGTGTTGTCTTTTACGTTTGTTGTCATTCGCCCTTGTAATAAAATTTCATATGCTTGTAATCGCGGATGAAAGTAAAGGAAATGTTAACATCCTTCAATTTTTATCCTCTCGCTACACTGGTAAGGTGGATTAAGGGTACACAAAGTATCAAACACGAAACTGCATGTCCTCAATGAAAAAGTGAGTCGACGATGTCCCCTCCGGAAAATACAGCTCAACGATAGAAAATCCGAGCAACTCGGGACTTTTCATCGAATTTTCTAGTGAGGTTCTCTACAAAGTAGTGTTTCATAATTGGTTCCAACGCATGGCTATCCCCTGTTAATGAATGAATCGTTTCTTGAAAATTCATTCTGAACATACTCCGACGGGCTACATCGTCAGACCGTTATCAGTGCTTGTAAGTGATGATAAAAACAAAATAAAGGACACGAACCCAATATGGTCCAAAAAATATTATTGCAATATTATGCATCCGATGTGAGCTTGAAGGGCCTCCACACGAACCTGAGAACTGCAAAATGTTGACTACACGATCGCTAACAACCGCTGACTTGCTATACTTGTCCCAACCCCCAACCTGCGGGGTCACTGGAGTATGTTTGTCAAGCCTCTATCCAGTGACCAACCTGGTAGAAGAGACCGTGCGGATGATGCACGGGCATCTTCCAGCATCGCTTAATAGGTTATTGAAGCTCACAAACCGTCACATCACGATATGGTGCAGTCCCTTCGCGACAGCATAGAAGGCAGGCGCATCACTGAGGGAGCGCGCGCAGTCTTGGAAATTTTTTACCTGGGTAGCTCGAAACTGGAAACACACGGATTCGGTTGTAGTAAAAAGGTTATCGTAATTCAGAATGAGAGTCAAACTCTTCCGGCTTAACAATCGTATTAGGAAAGGTCGCCACACAATGAGAAGACGTTTACAAAGGGAAATTGAAAAAAATAGAAACTCGACGATGGTGGAATTTACTGAGCTAAGTTAGCCCTCTTAGACTTTGCTTTAATCTTTGCCTTCTCGGGAACAAGCTATCTGACAGTTCGAAATGCAGAATGAGTGAACAACCTGTTTATAATCCACTGGTCATACAGAAAAACAACGGGCGCATCCATTCAGTCAATTCGACTAGATTTACCAGATCCAACCTACTGTCAAAAATGCCGCTTGGGAATAAAACACAAAATTTGAAATAATAGAGTCCAGAATCAGGGAAAACACATACCCGCAAGCAATCCAACTTGAGTTGACAGAACTGGCTATTCTGGTTCCGCCAGTGCACGCCTGATCGCACCATTGATGCGCAAAGTGGGGTTTTCTGCCTCTCACGTCGAACACGTAAACGAAGCCGTTGGCTAGGAAGTGGAACACGAAATCCAAAAAATACTGAACAGCTTAAAAATTTCGTCGTCAAATACTGCTCTCTTACGATTACCACATGTGTCTTCATGTATAAAGCGTACACTTCGTACATTGGGATAGGATGAGTGACTATGACTCATGTTACTTTGCCGTTATGAATTGTTCTCGTTAGTTTTGAACTACCCTTGGTTTAGCTAAAGGAGAGCCATCATAAATACTACACTAAATTCAACGGGTTGAAATTCCATATTACTACCCAACAAAAGACATGTTGTTCAAACTGAACAGTACCAGACGATCCACTTAAGTAGGTTAGGTTGGTGGTCGCTCTAAATAGTTTGCTTGGTTTTCAACGCGGCTTTCGTCATCTGATTCCGCTGGTCAGAAGTAGCCAGTGAGATTTAGGTAACCTGTGAAATCGCAAGTGTACTGATTACTAAGTGAAGTGAAGGGATCGATGTCGGACAGATCAATACATGGTTGCCTGACCTGTCAGTATACAGAGACAATAAACCAAGTGGGTGTATTCATGGAGAGCAGTGATCATTATTGTAGCAGTTGCCACACGATGAGAGGCACGACATGTGTGGAATACTAAATATAGTGGACTGAGCGCTCAGAAGAGTTACCCAAAGATGTGCCTAAATAGTGGTTATACTGGTGAGCACACCGGATAGACGGCAGTTTACGTGAGGACAGTTAGGTTAGGATAAACTCTCTAAAAGTGACCTAGAGGGGAATACAAAGGTGTCTCTTTTCTGAGAGTGGATCCCGTAGGAAAACAGCCACTGTGTGTGCGTGGATATTCATATGGTCCGCATCGTATAGTGCTCTGAAGGAATTTAACACTGGGAATCTATGCATTAAAAGCGAGAGCTTCGACGCAGGAGCGCCACTGACTGCGTGACTGAGCCAAACCTGTCATGTCACCAATAATGGGTGGAATACAAAGGTGTCTCTTTTCTGAGAGTGGATCCCGTAGGAAAACAGCCACTGTGTGTGCGTGGATATTCATATGGTCCGCATCGTATAGTGCTCTGAAGGAATTTAACACTGGGAATCTATGCATTAAAAGCGAGAGCTTCGACGCAGGAGCGCCACTGACTGCGTGACTGAGCCAAACCTGTCATGTCACTAACCAATAATGGGTTGAGTCCAGAGGTCTACATCCAGAGAGGCGGCAGTTGTCAATTCGATTGAGTTTACTTTTTCATACTTCATTGCCAGGTTGTGGATCATCCGTCCCTCAGTCACTTCCATTCAGCAATGAACTGGACAGAAAGATTTGCGACGGAAAGGGTACCCTATAATGCGAAGCATATGTCCAAAGCAACGTAACCTATTAAGTATGAGTAACCCATCGATCGTGGGAGGACCCATTTTTTCTGAAAACCACCTGGTATAACAAAGCACTGCTAATTCGATGTTCTCACAAGACCCGACCAATGCTTCGGAGAAACGGAAAGCTTTCGTACATCCTCCGCACACACAGGCTATAACTCTTATCTATAAATGGATTGCGCTATAATGTAAAAAAAATCGTTCAGCTGTAGCACCCTTTCGGTGCCTAGCTACTACGCCACACGAAGGAGGCACGAGGGTTGGGATACTGCCAGGTTGCCCACGCCTAGACAGGGGGAGTCAAGAGGCACAGGTCGGGTTCGAACCACAGACTTTCCGGTCAGTAAATTCGCGCTCTAACCACTTGGTCCATCTCGCTCCCTATAATGTAAACTAATATCATACCAGCGCCATCGGAGGTCGGAAGAAGCTACCGTGGCTTACCAAATTCAGAAAGTACTTCCATCTCGAGCCACTCCGCCAATCTGCCCAAGTAAATCACTTTGTTTACCAAGTAGATTAGCTTGTTTGCAACTTGGGACAACTGGTGCAGTCCAGGAAGACAAGATAAAGATACGGTCGACGGCATCCCCGGTTATGGAGAAACCCAGCTTGATTCTCACAAGTTTATCCTCCGAAAGTTCAATTTTCGAAGACGCGGATCATAGTCGAAGTGCTCGATTCTACTGGTCCTCTGCTTCCGTTCCAAGTCTTCCGCAGAAGACTGGTAACTCGAATTTCAAAACCCTCTCTGAAGTGTGAAAAGTGTAGACTGCATATTGACCAGCCCGAGTACCATATCACGCTGAAGGAATGATATCTCACACCGGCTTTCTGCTGTTGGTAAAGTGCTGATATCAAAGTTCCATTCAAGCCCGTCGGGTACCTCAGGGGTTGAAGGAGGCCCCGACATAAAGCTGACAACTTGATGTGGTGGTCGGGCCTGAGTGCTGCAATGATCCCACGGGCTAAATTGGCTGGAGCTTCGCTCCAAAAAATGCAACCATTCCAGAAGGACCGAAAGGGAGCAGCCACACCAAGAATAGCGAGACCCCGCACTACGAGTGCCACGGGGCGGTCTGGGGTAAAGCCGTATTGTCTTCTGTGATAAGAGTGTGAAGGCAGTAAGGTATTGCCCCCAGGCAACCAGCCGAACAGACAACGGAAATCGACTCCTTCAGTTGTGTGCTGATCATGAACTGTATCTGGGAAACACGAACTTTTAACATAAACGTTGACACCACGTAAACTGGCGGCCACCAACTGCAAATCAATGTTGGACCCAGTTGGACCACGCGGCGATCAGCCACCGGTGGAGAGCCACGATTCAATTCCTTCCGGGGCACACCACTTGAGTTCGATCACGCCATGGTGCGCTGACTCCTGACAGTTTGTTTCCCTGCAGGCCTTCGCAGGTCAGCAAGAATCATGCCAGTGCACTGTCTTCGAAGAACTACCATAGCTCGACAGTATCGATCTCAGCTAGCCCAACAGCTCTCTACGGTGGTGGCAGTGAGCATGTGGATGAAGCGTGGCAAAATTTGAAATGAGCTGTTAGTGGCGTCCAGTGTTGTCTGTCCAACTTCTCTAATTAGAACGCAAGACCACTGGATGTCGCGAGATCGCTACCCACGATCGATGCCAGCAGCCAACGGGTGCGACGGTGCACGCAAATCCCTCAAACACCAAATAATGACGAGTCCAAGGAAAGACCGAGAGCTCTGGTGGACATCGAAAGCTCGGGAGATGGAGAAGAGCTTTGCTACGGGAAACAGCTGAGCCCTATATCAACTGATACGATCGACTGGCCCTAGGAAATCAAAGGTTAGCGAAACGATAAGTGAAAAAGAGGGCACATTAATTCACTCACGAAAGCGTCGACTGGAAAAGTGGGCCAAACACTTCGAAGAACAGTTTAGCTGGCCTTCTACAACACAGCCTCTGGAGATAGTACATACAGGAAAATGAAATATACAACTTAATCATCCGTAGGAAGGAGAAATAAAGTATGAAACATCCGTAATGAAACCTTAGAAGTCACCAGAACCGGACAGTATGTATCCATCCCTTTTCGAAGAAGGCAGAAAAGCCCTGACAAAGCCTATTGGTACTGTATGGAACGAAAAGTCCCTGCAGAATGGGACAAGTCGACACTTATTCCGACCTTCAAAAAGGGTACGCGAAAGCGGCGTGAAAACCACCGTGGCGTCAGTCTGGTAGCCACGGCTGATTTCATCCTTCGAAGGTTGACTGAACACAGGGAGAGGCAGATCAGGGAAAACCGAGCCGGGTTCCGTGCTGCAAGAGGATGCATCGGTCAAATCTTCACACTCCGAAAGTCCCCAGAACAGTGACACTGCTTCCAGCAACCACCAGTGGTTGGGTTGTTGGATTTGAAAACTGCCTTTAAGGAGGCCCCGACATAAAGCTGACAACTTGATGTGGTGGTCGGGCCTGAGTGCTGCAATGATCCCACGGGCTAAATTGGCTGGAGCTTCGCTCCAAAAAATGCAACCATTCCAGAAGGACCGAAAGGGAGCAGCCACACCAAGAATAGCGAGACCCCGCACTACGAGTGCCACGGGGCGGTCTGGGGTAAAGCCGTATTGTCTTCTGTGATAAGAGTGTGAAGGCAGTAAGGTATTGCCCCCAGGCAACCAGCCGAACAGACAACGGAAATCGACTCCTTCAGTTGTGTGCTGATCATGAACTGTATCTGGGAAACACGAACTTTTAACATAAACGTTGACACCACGTAAACTGGCGGCCACCAACTGCAAATCAATGTTGGACCCAGTTGGACCACGCGGCGATCAGCCACCGGTGGAGAGCCACGATTCAATTCCTTCCGGGGCACACCACTTGAGTTCGATCACGCCATGGTGCGCTGACTCCTGACAGTTTGTTTCCCTGCAGGCCTTCGCAGGTCAGCAAGAATCATGCCAGTGCACTGTCTTCGAAGAACTACCATAGCTCGACAGTATCGATCTCAGCTAGCCCAACAGCTCTCTACGGTGGTGGCAGTGAGCATGTGGATGAAGCGTGGCAAAATTTGAAATGAGCTGTTAGTGGCGTCCAGTGTTGTCTGTCCAACTTCTCTAATTAGAACGCAAGACCACTGGATGTCGCGAGATCGCTACCCACGATCGATGCCAGCAGCCAACGGGTGCGACGGTGCACGCAAATCCCTCAAACACCAAATAATGACGAGTCCAAGGAAAGACCGAGAGCTCTGGTGGACATCGAAAGCTCGGGAGATGGAGAAGAGCTTTGCTACGGGAAACAGCTGAGCCCTATATCAACTGATACGATCGACTGGCCCTAGGAAATCAAAGGTTAGCGAAACGATAAGTGAAAAAGAGGGCACATTAATTCACTCACGAAAGCGTCGACTGGAAAAGTGGGCCAAACACTTCGAAGAACAGTTTAGCTGGCCTTCTACAACACAGCCTCTGGAGATAGTACATACAGGAAAATGAAATATACAACTTAATCATCCGTAGGAAGGAGAAATAAAGTATGAAACATCCGTAATGAAACCTTAGAAGTCACCAGAACCGGACAGTATGTATCCATCCCTTTTCGAAGAAGGCAGAAAAGCCCTGACAAAGCCTATTGGTACTGTATGGAACGAAAAGTCCCTGCAGAATGGGACAAGTCGACACTTATTCCGACCTTCAAAAAGGGTACGCGAAAGCGGCGTGAAAACCACCGTGGCGTCAGTCTGGTAGCCACGGCTGATTTCATCCTTCGAAGGTTGACTGAACACAGGGAGAGGCAGATCAGGGAAAACCGAGCCGGGTTCCGTGCTGCAAGAGGATGCATCGGTCAAATCTTCACACTCCGAAAGTCCCCAGAACAGTGACACTGCTTCCAGCAACCACCAGTGGTTGGGTTGTTGGATTTGAAAACTGCCTTTGACCCTGTGGACCGTCAGGCACTATGGCAGTGTTTATGGAGCAAAGGCGTCCAGCTAAATTATTCTCCTTACTTAAGGTGCTGAAGGCCCACTCTCGTCCACGGAAAGCTCTGGCCTCAGTTCACCACATAGGGCGGTGTCAGACAAGGCTTCTTTAACCTTGTGGACCGTCAGGCACTATGGCAGTGTTTATGGAGCAAAGGCGTCCAGCTAAATTATTGACCCTCCTTAAGGTGCTGAAGGCCCACTCTCGTCCACGGAAAGCTCTGGCCTCAGTTCACCACATAGGGCGGTGTCAGACAAGGCTGTCCTCTTTAACCTTTCCTCTTCAAGTTCGTCGTTGATACGAATATGAGACTCACTACCAGCCTCTAATGCATCTAATGTCTGTGGGCTCGAAAATCTCCCGGAGCGTCCGTCCATAGATATCGAGTGCGCAGATCACATAGCTCTTATGTAACCTGATGCCGTGGTGATTCAAACAATATTTAATATAATAATTCTACATCAAGGCTTTCCATGCGTTTCACACATGCAAAGTGTAAAATGCTACTACAAGACTGGGTAGGCTCGAACCCTGGGCTGCTGTATCAGTCCCGGTGTCCTCGCGAAGAATGATATTTTCATCCGGATTGGGAAGGCCAGAGCAGCCTTTGTGAACCTACGTCACCTGCGGCGTGGGCGTGACATCAGCTTATCCGTCAACGGTCGATTTTACAACGCTGCAGCGCGATGCCTATTGCTATACGGGTCAGACGCGTGGCTATTGCGCGCCCAGGACGTCAGACTTTCAGTGTTTGAGCATCGATGTCTTCGGAACATTGACCAAATCTGGTGGGAACACTGGGTCGGCAATGCTGAAATACGTCTAATCGTATTCGGGAGAAATAAGTCACCCACGATAGAAAACTGATCACACTCCACGGGTTGCGCTGGCTTGGCTACGTGCTACGTATACCAGTCAACCGACTTCCTCGAAGGGCTATTTTTGCAGAGCCATGCGAAGAGTAGAAACGAGTCAGGGGGTGTCAAACAATGAATTGGCAGCGAAGTTTGAAATCCATTACCAGCAAACTGAGTTGCACTGGTCATTACCGTCTCCCCGGATGGGGACCTCGAGACTGGCCACATCAATGTTTAGAGACATTGTCAGACATGATCCAGCCACCCTTGATGGCGTTCGTGCATCCAAGCTATGCATAGCTCCATAGCAAATCCCCCACTTAAAATTCCACTGACAGTCCTTAACTTACAAACCGATATGTTGACCCCAGCCTGCGATGCGCAGCTACCTACCCTACCTCCCCAAATCATCGGTGGAAGAAAATGCGAACGACAGATGCGCAGTTCTTACCGCTGATAATGGTGATGATGACGATGTTGAAGGAAGCCGGCTGAAGTGTTCTTTTAAGTGTCTAACCAATGCTGGCGATCATTCTGGCATCATCCTGAAAATTGTTTCACTCACGGTCGTCTTCTTTAAGTCGGTTAATCAAATCAACTGACATTGGGTGTGGCTGTTGCGTGCAACGGAAGCCAAATCTATTCTCTGGATCTCCAAAACTCACCACGTTCTCTGTCATTTTCCAGCATATTGACTACCCGGTGTCTGATGGCTCTGCATGCACCACTGTAATCGCTGGTTGCTTACATGGTTTTTCTGGTTGAAAAAAAGTCTGATCTCGGCGACATCCAGAACCCCCTTGGTCTATTTCGATGCCTTGGACAGGTAGTCTTGCAAGTTGAGAGCATAGCTTCTTCCACTCTCTTCATTTTATCCTCCAACCGGCCTTCGTCATCAGCGTGACTTTGGTTCCAGTAGCTTTCTAGCCAAGTCAGCTCAACAGTGTTGAGCTACTAAAACTCGTCTAAGTTGATTAATGGAACTGCTCTGCTTCATCACGAATACTCCTGAGGGGGAAACGAACTGATAAACCTGTACAACTGCATGACCGCAGTCAATTTGTACACACCAGAAGGAACAGCAAGCCATCGATAACCCACGGGTGGATGACGCTTAACTGGGTCCATGGCTGGCTTACAACTGGTGGCTTTCAAGTAACTCGGTGCAAGTGCTTGTGCTGAAAATTCATTCCAGCCAAGAACCCACAATGTTCAGCACATGAGCGAAGAAGTCACTGTCCAATAGGCATATGTTGAGCATCGACTTCGAATCTACCATCCAACTGCGCTTGGTCCGGGTTCAGTCGTCCAACTTGGACGTTCATATCACGCGCCAGGATGGTAATATCTGTTCTCCTTGCTGACCGAAGCAGCTCTCACACATTTCAGCTTCCCGGTGAATGTAATGTATACTGGACAGTGCTTGCATGTAAATTGCTGACGGAAGGGCCCGAAATGGGGTCATTTACTCAGTTAGGACCAGTATGCAAATTCAGTAGCTTAGAAAATAAGCAGGTCGAATAGGAACCAAGCTGGTACCATCTGTGCGGAATGGGTTAATTTGCTGTGCAACCCCGTTTATATA